TTTTTTGAGATGAAGTCTTGCTTTGTCACCCAGGCTGGAGTGCAGTGGCGCGATCTCGGCTCACTGTAATCTCCACCTCCCGGGTTCAAGCCATTCTCCTGTTTCAGCCTCCTGAGTAGCTGGGATTACAGATGCATGCGACCACACCCAGCTAATTTCTGTATTTTTATTAGAGATGGGGTTTCACCATGTTGGCCAGGCTGGTCTTGAACTCCTGACCTTGTGATCCACCCATCTTGGCCTCCCGAAGTGCTGGGATTATAGGTGTAAGCCACCGCACCCGGCCGATCGTAGACCTTTATAAAGTAAATTTGTCAGTTGCAGCTGAGCAGCTCAGCCTCCTGGTCTTGGGTCTCCTGCATCTTGGCCCTATAGAGTGTGTCCTGAGCAACCGCAGCACCACCTCTCCCTGCATCCCTCCCCCTTGTGCTGGAAATAGCATTTGCTTCTTTTGTGGGTTATTTCCTGCCAGCCCCAGCTTGCTGGCTGCAGATGCTGGCAGAAAGTGGCTGCAGCTGACAACCTTCTCCAAGTTCGCGTCTCTGCTCCTTGGACAACGCCCAGGCAGCTGCTTGTGGTCTGAGTTCCAGCCTCTGGTGACCAGGGTCAGTGGCTGTTTCTTGTAACCACAGAGATCTGACAGATACAGACACTTAGAAGCTCAAGGCCAGAGGCCAAATTTTTACCCAAATTCTCTGGGGGTCCACACCCTTCTGTGTGGTCCACTATGCAGGAAAGGCTTAGCCTTGCGCAAAGAAAGATGGGGCCCTTTATTCTCAGCTCCTGGGCATTCAACTCTAAGCTCTTGGAAGACCCTGCCTGATAGCCCATCTGAACTGATCATGCTAATGCTGTGATTTATGGTGGGGGGGCCTTGGGCCACATGGTATTGGCTTGATGCATGAGGTCAGCCATGTGGGTGGTGAGCTGCTTAATTCAGCACTTTGGGAGGCTGAAGCAGAAATCACACTTGAGGCCAAGACTTTGAGACCAGCCTGGACAACATAGGGATACCCTGTCTCTACAAATAATAAAAAGATTAGCCACACATGGTGGCACATGCCTGTGGTCCTAGCTACTCAGGAGGCTGAGGTGGGAGGATGACTTGGACCTCAGAGGTCAAGGCTGCCATGAGCTGTGATCTCACCACTGCACATCAGTCTAGCAACAGAGCCAGACCCTGCCTCAAGACAAACAAAAAACTCTGGACACGAAGGTCTCGAGTGAACTGCTCTGGTTCGCAGTATTTCTTGTGTGTTGTCACATGTCGTTGCTGTGAGAATCAGGTGCTGCCTACACAGCTCCACTGGGAAGGGACAGCTGGAAGCTGTTGGCTCATCTCTCCCGGAACGTGTGCTGGGCAGCACCTCGCTTTGCTGATTTTAATCTCTGTCCTTTCGCTGTAATAAACCGTAACTGGGAACTTAACAGCTTTCCTGAGTCCAGTGAGTCCTTCTAGCAAATGAGCTCAGGGTGGTCTTGGAGACCTCTGAACATGCACCTACCACCTCGTTTTGAGGTCTGGAACGGGAAGGAGGCCGGTCTCTTTGGAGGGGTCTTCATCTGTGGGGATGGGGTCCAACTCTGGAGGCCCACGTCCTTGCCAGCTCCAGTCTCTCCCCGCTCAGACCCGATGCTGTCACCTTGTGACCTCTGTCTGGGAATCCTGGGAAGAGTTGGCCACAGGGGCATAGGAGACGGGCTGGAAGAGAGTTTTCGTTTGTTTTCTTTTTTTTTTTTTTTAATTTTATTTTATTAGAAAAGAGTTTTCAAACCTTAGCCTCAGGGCTCTTTTAAACAAAATCAAAGAACATCTTCCCACCGAAGACCAATGTGCAAAGAACTACAGGCCTGTCCCCTTCCCTCTCCCTGGAAGCCAGGGCAGTGCTTCTTAAGGTGTGGCCAAGGGTGGAGTTGGTGGGGAGGGCCGATATTAAAATGCAGATTCCCTGGCCTCAGCACAGACCACACTGTCGGGGGCTGCATCTTAGCAAACTCTAGAGGGGATTCTGCCCAGCAGGAAGGGTTGGGAAATACTGCTTAAGGCAGCAGGAGAAAAGACCCAGAAGACCCAGGCTCCTGAGGCTGGGCTGGGCATGTGGAGACGTCTGGTTTGTAGTTCGTGCAGACCCCACCCCCTCCTCAGCTCCCACACTGCACTTACCCTATTATCCGAGGTGCTGGCAGCCATCGGACCTGGGGAAATAGGAGGGGAAGTCGTCAGGAAGGAACAAGGCTGGGAAGCTGGGAAGAAGATATGCCCGGGTGTCAGGGCCCTGAAAATGCCAAGTTCTGCCTCTGCCATTACATGGGGTGCCACTTCCCTTAACGCTACACACGTTTGTCACACAGGGATGGTGGGTGTGCTTGTCAAGGATTTGAGACCAGCCTATGCAAGACAGCAAGATCCCTGCCTCTAAAATAAAAAATAAAATAAATGACAGTGTAGGCCGGGCACCATGGCTCACGCCTGTAATCCCAGCACTTTGGGAGGCTGCGGTGGATGGATCATGAGGTCAGGAGTTCAAGACCAGCCTGGCCAACATGGTGAAACCCTGTCTCTACTAAAAATACAAAAATTAGATTCTTTAAATATCCATTAATTAAATAAAGATCCATAAATATCGAGCCTGGGCTCTGGAACCAGATGGATGGGTTCAAATTCCATCTCTGTCCTTTAGGAGCTGTGTAACCTTAGCCCAGTGACTTAACCTCTCTGGTTTCAGTTTCCTAAACTACTGAACAGGGGTTTATTTAGCAAACAGTAGTAGTATTCAGCAAATGGTAAATGTCTACTTTGTGCCAGGTATATTCTAGGTGCTGGGGACACAGCTGTGAACAAAACAGACAAAAACGCCTGCTCTTAGCCACGCATGGTGGCTCACGCCTGTAATTCCAGCACTCTGGGAGGATTCCAGTACTCTGGGAGGAATTCCCCAAGGTGGGTGGATTGCTGGAGTCCAGTTCAAGACCAGCCTGGGCAACACAGCAAAACCCCAACTTTACTAAAAATACAAAAAATTAGCCGGGCCTGGGAGTGCACGCCTATAGTCCCAGCTACTCAGGAGGTTGAGGTGGGAGAATCACCTGAACCTGGGAGGGTGAGGCTGCAGTGAGCTGAGATCACACCACTGCACTCTAGTCTGGGCAACAGAGAGAAAAAACAAACAAACAAACAAACAAAAACAGGCATGGTGGCTCACGCATGTAATCCCAGCACTTTGGGAGGCCAAGGCGGTGAATCATGAAGTCAGAAGTTGGAGACCAGCCTGACCAACATCGTGAAACCCCGTCTCTACTGAAAATACAAAACTTAGCTGGGTGCAGTGGTGCACGCCTGTAATCCCAGCTACTCGGGAGGCTGAGGCACGAGATTCGCTTGCACCTGGGAGATGGAGGCTGCAGTGGGCTGAGGTCGTGCCACTGCACTACAGCCTGGGTGAAAGAGTGACAGCCTGCCTCAAAAATAAATAAATATTAAAATCAAGGAAGTTGTAGTGACAGCCTGCCTCAAAATAAATAAATAAACAAAAGTAAAAATTAAAAATTAAAATCCAGGAGGTCGTACATATAAAGCAGCACATGGACAGTGCTCAGTAAAGTATCACTCCTCTGATTACAGAATTAGCTGGTGCACTTCTCCAGAAGGAGCCATGGGAGGGTGACCCAGGCAGGGGAACGGCCTATACAAATCTCTTGAGGTGTGAAAGCATCAGACCCTGTTAGAGCTGAGGATCAGAGGTGCCAGTTCCTGCCACCTCCTCCTAGAGTCACTCCTGAAAAAGGCAGATAGAGTAAGGCTGAGGGGTTAAGCATGATTTCACCCCCATCCTTCTAGCAGGGACTCCCACCCACATCACCTGAATGAAGTGCTGAAGCCTCAGGCCAGATAACATCTTCTCCCACTCTGTAAATACTTGTAAATGTAATCAGTGAAGCAGTGAACGGGATTCCCTGGTTCTGCACCCTCGTTGGTCAAATGGGGAAAACCTCATGGCACTGGGGTGAGGATTCAGTGAGAGGCACACGGGAAGGGCTTAGCACAGAGCCAAGCACACAGTAGGTGCTCCATTATGGCAGCTCTGGTGATGCTCACTCGTGGAGACAGATGGCAACGCCAAAGGAACTTACGGGAACGTCTGGACCAATAGAAATAAAGCCCACCCCCCAGCAGGGCCAGAACAACCAGCGGTCCCAGAATCAGGAGGAGGATGTTGTTCTTGGGCATGCCTGGGGGTTCACTGGAAGGGCCCTCTGAAAGAGAAGGAAACAGGTTTTTAGGTAAGGAAACTCTTGGGGTTTATCCCTCATTCTTGAAATGGCATCTCAAATTTCCTTATGGAGCCACCACTCCACCTGCTTCAGTCTATTTGATTCAGGTGGACTGGATCCTACCCTCTGGTTCCTAGGATGGGACTTTGACACAGCCCTGGCCAATCAGAACATTCCATTCTCCCTGGCTGCTGTGATTGGTTCATAGGTGGGCTGTGGCCTAAGTTGGGCCAATGAGAGCCAGCCCTGGGACTTTGGCTACAGTTATTGAAAATGGCGTTTTTTTTCTCTCCTGCTGTTGCTATTCTGGTAGGATGTAAGCCTGTTATTGCTGAGGGCTATCTTGCTTCCCTGAGGACAGAGTCTTCCTGAGAATCAAGCCAGTACAACGAAAAGCAGAGATAAGAGATGTATAAAATAAAAGTTCCTGGATTAGATAGTTGGAACCCCTGTATCTAATCATACCTGAAGGTGACGTTTCAATAAAATCCTGGATTTTTGTTTGCTTTTTTTCTTAGACTACTTTGAGTTGTGTTTCTGTCAACTGCAATTGATAGAGTTCTGCCTACTACATTTGGAAAGGCCTGAGTCCCTGAGAGAGAGGGATTCCACATCTATCCCAACCTGGGTGTGCGGAGGGAGTGTATTCAGGTAGCTGAACAATGGTACCAGCGGTATAGGTATGGAGTTAACAGGAGAGTAAAGCTGGCCTCACTGGTCCTTTCGTGAGAAGGCTTAGGAGAAGGATGGGAGCCGGCTGCTGTGATTGGTTCACAGCATTGGAGAGGGAACCCTGCCGCGACCTCTTCCTTTGGTCCCTGTTCTCTCCACCCAGGGAGTTCCTCACCTTTGACCTGGACAGTCAGTTCTGCCTGGCGAGCTCCTAGGGCACTGGTGACGTTGCAGATGAAAGTAGTGTTGATTGACTTGTCCACAGGATGGATGAGGAGCTGGGCGCCCTGGGCCACAGCAGAGGGTGGCAGAGGACCCATGGTTCTGGGAGAGACAGAAGGGTTTCTGCTGCGAGTCTGGAGTGACAGTGATTGAGCACCCACTACTTGCCAGAAACCCTCATGCCCTCTATGATATAAGCTGAGAGCAATTCTGGAGGACCCCCCCGACCCCCGACTCTTCCCTTCCTCTCATGCCCACGCCCAATCCATCAGCCAATCCTTAGGCCCTGCCCTAAGATCTATCCAGAATCCTACCGCTCCTCAGGGCTTCCACGGCTGCCTCCCTGCTCTGACCCGGTACATCCTGGCCCCCAGTAGCCGCCTCCACGCTGGGCTCCATTTCTGCCCTCGCCCCCTCGTCTGTTCCCCACTTGGCCACCAGAGGTCGCCTGTGAACCCTAAATCAGTTCCCATCCCTCAGCTCAGCACCCTCTGGTGGCTCAGCCTGGCTCAGAGTAAAACCGAACTCTCCTCCGTGTCACAGGCCCCACGTGACCTGGCCCCTGCTACCTCTGCCCCTGTTTTCCACGACCCTCCCCTTTGTTCCCGCCTCTGTATCCACAGTGGCCTTGCTGGTCCTCAAACTCTCCAGTTAGGTGTCCTGGGTGTTTGCTTATGCAGGGACTGATGGATAGAAATGGGTTTGCCTGGCCGGACTCAGTGGCTTACTTACGCCTGTAATCCCAGCACTTTGGGAGGCCGAGGCAGGTGGTTTACGAGGTAAGGAGTTCAAGACTAGCCTGGCCAAGATGGTGAAACCCCGTCTCTACTAAAAATACAAAAATTAGCCAGGCATGGTGGCCGACGCCTGTAAATCCAGCTACGCAGGAGGCTGAGGCAGAGAATTGCTTGAACCAGGGAGGTGGAGGTTGCAGTGAGCTGGGCCTGCGCCACTGCACTCCAGCCTGTATGACAGAGTGAGACTCTGCCTCAAAAGAAAAAAAAGAAATGGGTTTGCCTATACTGTTCCCTTTGCTAGAATGCTTTGCCCCCACGTACCCACAGAGCTCACCCTCACCTCCTTCACCTTAGTAACATCTCACTTGGCCACCCTATTTCAGCTGTGATGACCACCCTTCCCATCCCCATTCTCTCTCTCTGCCTCTCTAATTTTATTATTTTTTGAGACAGGGCCTCACTCTGTCACCTGTGCTGCAGTGCAGTGGCACCATCTTGGCTCACTGCAGCCTCTACCTCCTGGGTGCATGCAATCTTCCCACCTCAGCCTCCTGAGTAGGTGGGACTGCAGGTGCGTCCTCCCACACCCAGCTAAGTTTTGTCTCTTTTTTTGGTAGAGATGGGGTTTCACTGTGTTGGCCAGACTGGTCCCAAACTTCTGGCCTCAAGTGATCTTCCCGTCTCAGCATCCCAAAGTGCTGGGATTACAGGCATGAGCCATGGCGCCTGGCCCCCATCCCCTTTTCTGCTTTATCTTCTCCATGGTATTTATCACCATTGCACACACTCTACACACTTTACGACTTTATCTTGCTTCTTGTTGTTTTCCCCACTAGAATGGAAGCTCCATATGGGGAGCAAATCTGGTCTGTTTTATTGACTACTATATGCTGGTTAATTGCACCTGGCACACAGTAGTCGTCAAGGAACACGAGTTTAATGAACAGAGGTAGAGATGGAAGTATTGGGCTTTGGGCACTCTGCAAAGCTGGGATGCAAACGCAGCCATCTGCCTCAAGAGGCTGAATTGTGGTGCTTTGAGGTAGGACAGGAAAGGCACCATCACACCATCAAAAACCTCTGACCGGCAATTCCTTCCGCTGACAACTGACAAATGACCACGGGGGATGGTCACCACCATGGCATTTGCAGAGTTGAAAATGGAAACTGACATCTGTGTCCTGTACTGATGGTTAAATAACTGATGACATCCACGTATGTTGGAATCTCTTCCCTGCACTTTGGGAGGCCCAGGCGGGAGGACTGCTTGAGTTCAGGAGTTCAAGACCAGCCTGGGCAACATAGTGAGATCTCATCTCTATTTCTTAAATTTTTTTTTTAAAGGTGATGAAATCCCAGCAACATTAAAAAAGGGGCCCTGTTAGCCAAGTGTGGTGGTGTGTACCCTGTAGTTCCAACTATCTGGGAGGCTGGAGGATCACTTGAGCCCAGGAGCTCACGGCTTCAGTGAGCTGTGATTGTGCCACTGCACTCCAGCCTGAGCAACAGAGTGAGGCCTTGTTTAAGAAAAAAAAGTGAGCCGAGATCGCGCCATTGCACTCCAGCCTGGGTAACAAGGGCGAAACTCCATCTCAATAAAAAAAAAAAAAAAAAAAAAAAAAAAAGAACAAAGCAGGGGAGCTGAGGGTGCTTTGAAATGCATAATATGATTGATGGGTGAATAGAGGGACAGAAGGAATCACAGAAATGTGATAAAGCAAGCAGAGTAAAATGTTAGTGGGGGAATCCACATGGTGGAATCTTAAGTGTTCACTGGAAAATTAGGATTTTCCTGTATGTTTGACAATCTTCCTAATACAATATGTGGATTGAAATGGGCTTGCGGACCTGTGTGCTTTGAGATGGAAAGGTATTCACAAGATAGAGGAAAAGTTTCAAAATTATATGTATAGCATAATTCCAGTTTTTGTTTAGAAACACAGAGAAAAAAGACAGAAGGGTGTATAATAAGGGCCACTGGGTATTTCTGGAGGTAGCTGGGTACACTTGACTAGAGGTGCTGCTGTCTTCTTTTTGCTCATAACTCAATGGCCTGACATTTCTACAGCGGACACGAGTTATTTTTGTAATAAGGAAAAAGGCCTAAGGCTGGGCAAGGTGGCTCACACCTGTGATCACAGCATTTTGGGAGCCTGAGGTGGGTTGATTGCTTGAGCCCAGGAGATTGAGACCAGCCTGGGCAATGTGGCAAAACCCTGTCTTTGCAAAAAATACAACAAAATTAGCTGAGTGTGGTGGCCCGTGCCTGTAGTTCCAGCTACTCAGGAGGCTGAAGTGGGAGGATCACTGAGCCCAGGGAGGTTCAGGATGCAGTGAGCTATGATCATGGCACTGCACTCCAGCCTGGGTGACAGAGCCCCAGCCCCTCCTCCCTCAGATCCTGAAGTCCAGGCCCCCAGTCCCTCCTCCCTCAGACCCAGGAGTGCAGGACCCAGCCCCCTCCTCCCTCAGACCCAGGAGTCCAGACCCCCAGCCCTTCTTCCCTAAGACCCAGGAGTCCAGGCCCCAAGCCCCTCTTTCCTAAGACCCAGGACTCACGTGCTCCACTCATAGCCTGTGGGCTCTGGGTTGCTGTGAGCATCGCAGGTCAGGCTGGCCTCAGTCTGGCCAAGGTACCAGTTGCCATCATAGCCAGAAATGGATACCTCTGGGGGATCTGCATGAAGTGGACACAGAGGTTCAGAGACAGGGAGCCTTTGGTGGGCCTAGGGCTATGCGGGATTCACATTACTGCAGGAAAAGGTCTGGACATGTTTGGGGAACAATGGGAGCTGGAGAGGCCTAGGAGGGGTCTAGGGAGATGGGGTGCCACAGAGAGCAGAAGCCTGGGAGTCCCTGGTCAGTGGGGACATGGAGAAGGCTTCTGAGGACCTGCTTTTCTCCCCCAGCTTTCCTAGGTAGCCTGGTCCAGGTATGTGTTGGGTGTCCTGCGGGAAAAAGCCTCCTTGTCTCACTCATAGGCAACTGACACTCGTAACACACAGCAGTGTATTCAAGGCTCTGACAAGTCCTGTGGGAAAGGGTCCTGGATAAATCACCCTGCTCTAGGGAGCTGCTCAGCCATCCCAGACATGACTGACAGTGAAGATCCTTCAGCGTCCTCAGGAGGAAGGTCAGCAGGACAAGGTTTGTTGGGGGGTGAGGGGTAGGAGTCAGCATGGAGGGACTCCAGTATAGACAGCACATGAGGGAATCTGTGTACCAATTGCCTGGCGGGGGAGCAGGCAGTATAAACAAAGATGGAAGGAACAGTATGGATGATGCCTAGAAGTGCTTGTGTGGATATTAGTGACAGGCCCAGTGTAGACCTGGCGTTAGAATATCACAGCAGATGCTATAATGTCCGGCCAGTGTTCAAAATGCTGGGGTGGGGGTGAGATCACTCCCATATATAGAGTGTGTCCCAGGGAGCTGGTGAAATTAAAACAGGCTGTGTGTGTGTGTGTCTGTGTGTGTAGACAGTATTTGGATGAGCCAGTATAGACGATGTGGGAGCTTAGTCTAGATCTATGCTCTCCAATATGGAACCTACTGGCAACATGTGACAACTGAGCCCTGGAAATATGGCCAGGCTGAAATACACACCCGATTTCAAAGGCTTACTAGGGCAAAATAAATGGGAGAGATCTCAAGAAAAAATTTTAGAAACGAATTACAAGTTGAAATAATATTTTGGGTATATCGGGGTAAGTAAACTATTAAAATTAATTTTGGCCAGGCACAGTGGCTCATGCCTGTAATCTCAGCACCTTGGGAGGTCGAGGCAGGAGGACTGCTTGAGCCCAGGAGTTTGGGACCAGCCTGGGCAATATAGGGAGATCCTGTCACTATAAAAAATACACTAGGCTGGGTGCAGTGGCTCACGCTTATAATCCCAGCACTTTGGGAGGCCAAGATGGGCGAATCACATCAGGAGTTCGAGACCAGCTTGGTCAAGATGGTGAAAGCCTGTCTCTACTAACAATACAAAAATTAGCCAGGCATGGTGGTGGGCACCTGTAATCCCAGCTACTGGGGAGGCTGAGGTAGGAGAATTACTTGAACCTGAGAGGCGGAGGTTGCCGTGAGCCAAGATTGCACCACTGCACTCCAGCCTGGGCAACAGAGCAAGGCTCTGTCTCAAAATAAATAAATAAATAAAAATAAATTAGCTGGGCATGGTGTCACATGCCTGTGGTCCCAGCTACTCAGGAGACTGAGGCTGAGGTGGGAGGATTGCCTGAGCCCAGGAGGTCAAGGCCGCAGTGAGCTGGCCACCACACTCCAGCCTGGGTAACAGAAGAAGAACCCATCTCAGATAAATAAACAGATAAGTAAATACGCAAATCAATTTCATCTCTTTCTTGTAATTTTGTAATGGATGGCTGCTGGAGAATTTAAAGTCCTCTATGCAGATTGCATGCTATTTCTGTTAGACAGCACTGGTGAGAGAGTGCCTGGGGCTATCAGTGGAGATAAATGTGTGGGTGTCAATGTCAATGGCACCATGAGGGAGCTAGTGGAGGTGACGCTGTGCAGGAGAACCAGGACAGATGGTGTGAGGGGGCTGTGTAGGCCAGTGTGGTGATGGGGGGTGAGACTGGACAGCCTGTAGATGAGCCAGTGTAGACAATACTGGGCAGGGCGATGTGTAGACTACACTAGGGGGCTAGGCTTCAGACACTGCTCAGGTTGGCCAGCACACACAATGTGGGAAGATCAGTGCAGCCAGCACCCAGGGGAGACCGTTGATCGTGGCTCAGGGGAACCGGTAGATACAGTGTGGGAGGTGAATGCAGACAGTTCCCCAGGGAGGCAGTGTAGACAATGGGAGGGGGCACTTTAGAGAGTGCCTACGACTGGGCGCGGTGGCCCACGCCTGCAATGCCAGCACTTTGGGAGGCTGAGGAGGGCAGATCACGAGGTCAGGAGATAGAGATCATCCTGGATAACAAGTCAAAACGCCATCTCTACTAAAAATACAAAAAATTAGCTGGGCGTGGTGGCATGTGCCTGTAGTCCCAGCTACTTGGGAGGCTGAGGCAGGAGAATGGCTTGAGCATGGAAGGCGGAGGTTGCAGTGAGCCGAGGTCACCCCAGCCTGGGTGACAGAGTAAGACTCTGCCTCAAAAAAAAAAAAAGAAAAATGCACAAGGGAGTGGGTGTAGACAATGAGGGAGGCAGCGCTGACAGTGGCCAGGAGAGCCAACGCGGGGAAGGTCATTGTGGATAGTTGCCTGGGGAAGCAGGTATAGCCAATGTTTGGGGGCAGTGCAGACTGTGCTCAAGGGAGTCAACAGAGTGTGCCAGTGTAGACAGTGGCTAGAGGAGCCACAGTCACACCAGTAATCCCAGTTACTCGGGAGGCTGAGGCAGGAGAATTGCTTGAACTCAAGAAGCAGAGGTTGTGGTGGGCTGAGATTGCACCACTGCACTCCAGCCTGGGAACAGAGTGAGATTCTGTCTCAAAAAAAAAAAAAAAAAAAAAAAAAAAAGAGGGAAGACAATCTGGGTGTCAGCATTGACTGTGGCCCAATTAGCTGGTGTCGACAATAGGGGCAGTGATGTTTATGGCCCAGGGGAGCTGGTGTAGACAGTGGGGGTGGGCCGTGCAGACAGTAGTCAGGGGAGCCCGTGCAGATTATGGAAGCAATGCCTACAGTGCCTTGGGGAGTCAGTGTAGACAGGGGTGGGGGCGGCCCGGCAGGGGTTCTCGCCGTGGCTGACTTGGGCACACTCACAGTACACGGTGAGGTTCACAGCCAGCAGCTGAGGCTTCTCGAAGCTCTCATGCTCTACTTTGCAGGTCACATTCTTGCCATCCACCTGGCTTGAGGGAACCAAAATCCAGAGGCTGGTGACGGTGACTGTGCCAGACAGGAGCCCTGGCTCCTGGCTCATATTGGCCATCCCGCCCAGGTCTGAGTACCAGGTGATTCGGGCAGGCGGGCGACCCCCTGTGGAGACGCATCGGGCCACGGGCACAGGCTCTCCGGTGAGCTGGACGTTCTGAGCCTCAGCTGTGTTCTGGGGCTTGGCTAGGAAGAGGAACAAAAGCAACAGGTCATCCAATGAACCCCTCCATGGTAGAAGAGAGGGATTCATTAAGGGTACAGGATGGTATGGTGGCTGGGCATGGTGGCTCACACCTGTAATCCCAGCACTTTGGGAGGTTGAGGTGGGTGGATCACTTGAGGTCAAGAGTTCGAGACCAGCCTGGCCAACATGGTGAAACTCTGTCTCTACTAAAAATACAAAAATTAGCCAGGGTATGGTGGCACATGCCAGTAATCCCAGTTACTTGGGAGGCTGAGGCTGGATAGTTGCTTGAAATCAGGAGACAGAGGTTGCAGTGAGCCAGGACTGCGCCACTGCACTCCAGCTGGGCAACAGAGCGAGATTCTGTCTCAAAAAAAAAAACCACAAAAATGTACAGGATGGCATGGTTCAAACCCCAGCTCTGTCCCTGAGCAGCTGGGTGGCCTTGGGCAAGTCTGTGCCTCAGTTTCCTTGTCTGTCAACAGGAGATAATGATGGGATCACAGGCATGAGAATATTCTGGTAAAGCTCTAAGAGTGGTACTTGGCACATAATAAGTGCTCAATAAATATTATTTGGTGGAAAGTGCTGGGGCCCAGCAGTGACCAAAATAACCCTGGTTCTGCCCTTATGGGTACTCAGTCCAAGGGGCAGAAATACTCTTTTCCAGGCAGTGATGACTTGGAAAAGGCAGGGCTGGGACGGGGAAACCCAGAGGGGGTTATCCTAGTCTGGGGCTCAGGGGAAGAGAGGAAGCCTGAGCTCTGAAGTTGAGAAGGGAAGTGTCTTGCCCACGGTCACATAGCTATAAGCAGCAGAGCTAGACTTTCACATAAAGTCTGTTCGACTCCAAAACCACCTTGACCATCTCTTAATCATCATCCTGGTGATTCCCAAACCTGGGACTTCCTTCCCCATCATTACCTGTATTATTATTTACCCAAGGTTTCTCCTTAACTTGACTCACTGTTTCTGTTTTACCTCATCCTATAAACCATGATACCCAGAATCCCAGGCTTGTTGGAGTGACAAGAGTTGCCTTTGATTGGAAGCTGTGTGCCCGTTGCAAACCCTTGAAATTTCATGAATTGCTCATGCACAAGCCTGGAATAGTTCCTGGCACATAAACTTAAAAACCAAACACCAGCAATGAAAAAGGCAGGCATGGGGGCACATTCCTGTAATTCCAGCTACAGGAAGGGCAGGAGCATTCCTAGAAACCAGGAGTTCCTGGCTGCAGTGAGCTCACACCACTGTTCTCCAGCCTGGGCGACAGAGCAAGACTCTGTCTCAAAAAAAAAAAAAAAAAAAAGAGTCAGTTATTTTGAATCCTTATGGTGATCCCCATCCCACAGATGAGGAAACTGAGGCACAGAGACTTCTTGCTCAAGTTCCAGGAGGATGGCCTCATGGAGCTCAAGAAAATGAACGCATGACCCCCTCCTCTTTTGGGTATGAGGATCTTTGCTGTTCTGTCTGTTTCAACTTTCTCCTTCTTCACTAAATAAAGTAACAGTAACTGACAACTCTAAGGAGCTCACATGGGCCATGAAGCACCTCTGCTCTAAGCCTTCACCTGGACACTCATGACAGCTTTCCAAGAGTGATGCTATTGTCACCAATCCTTTTACAGATGAGGAAAGGAGGGACCCAGAAGCCGCCACGCAGGCCTCCTCCCTTCCCAGTGCCCTCCCAGCCCCCTTTCCAATATGCTCCTTCCCCTCCCTCAAGGTGTTCTGATCCCAGGCTTGGGGGTCCTTCCTCCCGGTGATCTCTCCTCTCTTCCTGCCCTGTAGCCCCTCCACCGCTAGCCTCCCCCACTCCACCCCTCATCATTGCCCTGCCCTTTCCTTTAGTCCCAGGGAATCCGCTGTGGAGGGAATCTCCCTCCCTCCCGGGCCTTCCCGCTCTGTACCTACCTCCCTGATCCTCCCACCAAATCTCCGCCTTTCATTCAGCCCCTGCCCCCAACGCGCCCCCCCTCACCGAACACTCGGAGCCAGGTAACCGCGCTCCTGCTGCCCTGCGGGAACATGACGAACAGGCAGGTGTAGTTGCCTTCATCCTCGGCGCGCAGCTCCAACACCCTCAGCGAGGCATCCCACAGTTCCGCCCCTAGCCTGGCGGCCACGAATTCCAGCCGTTCGGACTCCGGGTAGTTGGGACCCTGAGTACGGTGGAAGACGGCCACGCTGCGGGAGTCACCGAGCCGCGTCCAAGTCAGCTGTGACACATGCGTCACCTCCGTGCTGGGCAGCTGCAGCTGGCAGGGCAGCGTCACGGAGTCGCCCAAGAAGCCGTGCACCTGGGTGGGCGCCTTCAGGACGATGTCTCCTGCGGAAAACCGAAGAGAAGGTGTCAGATCGGGGGCGTTCCAGGGCCAGATAGGGAGGGGATCCGGGAGGGCTGGCACCCGGGCATGCACTGGCACGCTGGGACCCTGGATCCCTGGTGGGCGGTGGGAGGTGGGGAGAGGGGGAACTGGGGCACAACTTGGGGTCATGACAGGCGAGGAGGGTTAGGGCGTCTGGGATGGTCGTGCCCTTTCACTTTTTGGCTATTTATTATCATATTTCCTCTATTATTACCGTATTTGCCTCAATCTCGGCATCATCGATTTTAAAAATTGTGGTAAATACTGTGGTTTAAAAAATTAAATTTACCGCCGGTGCGGTGGCTCACATCTGTAATCCCAGCACTTTGGCAGGCTGAGGTGGGCGGCTCATAAGGTCAGGAGTTCTAGACCAGCCTGGCCAACATGGTGAAACCCAATTTTACTAAAGATACAAAAAATCAGCTGGGCGTGGTGGTGAGAGCCTGGAATCTCAGCTCCTCGGGAGGCTGAGGCAGGAGTATCGCTTGAACCCAGGAGGCGGAGGTTTCAGTAAGCCTAGATCTCACCATTGCACTCCAGCCTGGGTGACAGGGCCAGACTCCACATTAAAAACAAACAATACACACACACACACACTAAATTTACCATTTAAGCCATTTAAAGCACACAATTCAGTGGCACTATGTACATTTCACGATGTTGTGCAACCACTACCACTGAATGGCTCCAAAACTTTTTCTTTTCTTTTTTTTTTTTTTTTTTTTGAGACCGAGTCTCACTCTGATGCCAGGCTGCCGGAGTATAGTGGTGAGATCTTGGCTCGCTACAACCTCCGATGCCTGGGTTCAAGCATTCTCCTGCCTCAGCCTCCTGAGTAGCTGGGACTACAGGGGCGTGCCACCAGGCATGGCTAATTTTTTGTATTTTTAGTATAGATGGGGTTTCACCACATAGGCCAGGAAAATCTCGTAATCTTGATCTTTTGACCTCGTGATCTGCCCGCCTCTGCCTCCCAAAGTGCTGGGATTACAGGTGTGACCCACCACATCCGGCCCAGAACTTTTTCATCACACCGGTGTTGTAGGTTTCACATACTATGACTGCTGTAATTTACAGCACAACTTGCTGTTCCCAATGTAGAAAACGGGGAGAACTCCTGGGTCTTCAAATCTGTGAAACACTGTATTACTCTGGGTGGGTCCTGGCTGGAAGAATGTAGGGGATCGTGGCACAAAAGGAAGGCAATTATAGGCCAGGAGTTTTGGGTTCCTTCAGATCTCTGCTGTGAGGTCTCAGGCAGGTTACTTAACCTCTCTGATTCTTTTTCCTAGTTAGTAAAATGAAACTTACAACAGCGGACATTCACAGGGTGCTGACACAGCTCAGGGGCTCTTCTGGGCACTTTACATACCTCTTGGCATTTAGTTCGTGAGGCAAACAGTACTGTCAGCATCATTTTACAGGTAAGGAAACTGACACACAGAGTGCAGTGTCAGCCAAGTCATATGGAGGTCTAGTGGCAGAGGTGGGATATGAACCTGGGTGGTCTGTAGTCAGGGTCTGACCTCTGATCCCCTAGGTCCTATATGAAAATCTTTCTGCTAAGGGCCTTAGCACATAGTAGGTCTTAATATATGTCAGCTCTTATTGAGACTAATAAACATAGTCCTATTCATTCTTTTTAATTTTTAAATGTTTATTTAATTATTTTTGTAGAGATGGGGTCTTGCCATGTTGCCCAGGCTGGTTTTAAATTCCTAAGCTCAAGTGATCCTCCCATCTCAGCCTCCCAAAGTACTGGGATTGCAGGCATGAGCCACTGTGCCTGGCTGCAATCAGCCTGGGGAGAATAGCAAAACTCCATCTCCAACAAAAACACAAAGAAATTAGCCAGGTGTGGTGGTGAACACCTATTATCCCAGCTACTCCAGATGCCAAGGTGAGAGGATCGCTTGAGCCTGGGAACTTGAGTTTGCAGTGAGCAAGGACTGTGTCACTGCACTCCAGCTTGGGCAACAGAGCAAGACCCTGTTTCTCTCTCTCTCTCTCTCTCTCACACACACACACACACACTATATATATATATGTACTCATTAAATATTGATAACATTATTATATAAATAATATATGTTATAAATATATACTATATATTTAAAATAGTTAATAAATATACTATATAATATATAATATAAATTTATATTATATATTTATTAATAAATATATAACATGTAATATATAATTATATATAAAATTATAATATATAATATATATACTTATATTAGGAGTTTGAGACCAGTCTGGCCAACATGATGAATCCCTGTCTCTACTAAATATACAAAAAAATGGCTGGGTGTGGTGGCTCATGCCCGCAATCCCAGCACTTTGGGAGGCCAAGATGGGGCAATCACGAGGTCAGGAGTTCCAGACCAGCCTGGCCAACATGGCAAAACCCCGTCTCTACTAAAAATACAAAAAATTAGCTGGGCTTAGTGGCAGGCGCTTGTAATCCCAGCTACTCAGGAGGCTGAGACAGGAGAATCGCTTGAACCCGGGAGGTGGAGGTCGCAGTGAGCAGAGATAGTGCCACTGCACTACAGCTGGGCAACAGAGTGAGACTCT